GATCATTCCATTTCCTTCCATGCTCAATAAATTGTTGTCCTCTTTGCTAACCCTGCCATAGGCAATGTGCTTGTCAAAGCCATCAGCACAATTGTTATTATAAACATCTGCTCACAAGGATCTGGATTCAGACTAACACTCATTTTAAAAATAGATCTCTGAAAAGCCATCAAAATTCAACGTTAACTCATAATCAAATTAGGCCTAATTGAAACTGTGAGGTAGAAGTACAAGCTTTTGTATTCCATTAAATCCTAAGAACCACCCAGCCTCCAAAGTAGTATACCTTCTTGACAGCTTGAAACTCTTCATCTGAAGCTGCAGTGCCTATCCTGTCTCCTCTTCGGCAAAACTCTGATAAATCCACTGACGGAGCAACATAAACACACACAGTCAATAACTAGTGCTCTTGAAATATTTTTAAACTAAAATATATACCCACAAAAACTCATGATACAATATATTTTTGGTTAGTCTCTAAGGTGCCCCAGGACTACTTGTTGTTTTTAAAGTTACAGACTCACACAGCTAACCCTCTAAGATTTTTTAAAATATCTAGAATGACAGAAGTAGGAACAGCACTATTTGGTCAGCTGAGTAATAACATCCCAAGAATCTGAACATGTTATAGGAATACTTATTTTAGGTGTACCATGCCTACAAAATATATTATGCTGAAAGCGAATAGGCAGTCCTCAGCATCACAACTTTGACTTTTAATGAACAGCTCTTACCACATTTCTGAATTGACAGCCTGAATCAACTTACGACGCTGTTTTTGACTTTACGATGGTTGGTCCCACAGCAGAGTGCATTGTGGTTCCAAGTTACAATGTTTTGACTTACAACACAGTTTTCAGGAACCAAATGTGTTATAAGTCCAAAGACTGCCTGTATTTGATATATTATGTCTATTGTCAAAAATAAGTCATTTAGCTTAATTATTTCAATTATTTTTGTTTTGTTTTAGAGTAGGTCAGATTTTTCTCTTTAAGCCAAATCCAGCCCTTTCTTCTGCAGCCCCAGAGTGATCCCTAGCAGTGGAACCAGTGCAGTATAAAGGGAGAGCTGAATGGTTAACAGTGGATGAGCACAGCAGAGATGTATAACATAAGTGAATCATGGAAGACCACTCAAGGAATCAGCGTGGCAAGAGGCAGGGAAAGGAGATAGAGCAAAGGCAGGAGGGAGAGCAGTTATGCTAAAAGATTTGCTCCTACACAGTTTTTCCCCATCACTCTCTGTGGAAAGGCCACATACAAAGCCATGCATTAATTTAATTCTAGCAGTATTTCCTGAGCCAACTAAAGCCTGGGGAAGGATGATGGGTTTTCTTCCATGGTATATCTGCTTGGCACCCAACCCAGGCTGATTTGTTGGACTCTGGATTTAGCCCTATATGGAGTATTTTATTTCCTTAGAATTAAAATGTGTAATTATTTAAAATGTGTTTAGTTATTAAGCACACAATACTGTGGGTGAGTGATGTGAACTTGTGACATAAATCAGTGAAAGCAACGGGTGTGCCCTCCCATCATTCACAGCCTTGATCACCCAGTGTTTCTGGCACCATTACCTGAAATGCTGTTTTCACAAAGTGATATTTCAAGGGATTATATCATTCCAAATACTAACCTTGCAATTCCTTAAATTTATTTTGTCGACTGTACAAAACAATGTAACTCCTCTCTCCCAATAATAAGGATCCAATATTAGCACTATAACATAGAGAGCAAATATTGCTTCTGCTAAGACATCTGGAGGCTTTCTAGAAATTATTTTATTAGTTACCTTGTGTCAAACATGCTGCCTGAATTGATATACGAGGAGCACAGTTTCCAGCAAAGAAAGATGTGTTTACCTCAAACCCATGGATAATACCTGGTACTCCCAATTGGATAATACACCAATCGTGTCCTGAAAGACAGAGGACAAACTTCTAACAAATTTAATACGCCACCAGTGAATAAAAGTGGCAATTCATTTAACCAATATTTAGGCTATGTCTACACTATGACTTTTGTGGCAAGAGGCAATGGAAATGAAGTGCAAATTAGCATTTTCCTGTGCTTCATTTGCATACTCTCTTTCGTTCCATTTTTGTGCTAGGGGTTTTTGCTCAAAAACAGGCAGTGTGGCCATGGCCATTTTAAACAAAAAACTTTTTTTCTGCAGGATCCTTATGCCTCTCCGGGATCTGGATTTCAAAATCTCAGAATTATGAATATACCTGTACTCAGGAGGTTGGTTCACACCTTTATAAAAATAGGGGACCTTTTAAAAATTCAGACAAAGCCCTCTAAGTGTGGATTTTGAATACTTTTAAGTGTAGGTATTCGGATCGAATGTTTTAGTTTAGGCCTATCTCTTTTTTGGAGTGAACAATTGCAGGTTTAGGAGCATCTCCAGATCACTACAAGTAATATATAAAGTACTTATACTTCAATTAAAAACAAAACAAACGAGTGGTTCATGACAAAATGGGCCATCAGAATATGCCACAGAAGCAAAAAAAGAATTTAAACTCCCAGGATGTTTGTAAGGAGTTTCTGGAGATTTTACATGTGAAATTCATGAATTTATCTACCGTTTAAACTCTTGCCATTCAGTAGGACTCTGCAAAAATTGAAGGTCTGGATTCATACAGATCTGACGAACCCAAGCCAGTAGCTTTAGTCCATGTGGTGGTTCACATTTTGAAAGATTTATTGTTGGAGTTTCTGGTTCATTCAGTCCCAACAGCTTCAAGCTCACCACCTCAAAACTGGAAGGCTTCATACAGAGATCCATCAATTTCAGCCCCTTCATATCCTATAGTGTTACTATTAATTGACTATTATTAACCATATTACCTGGAATCCTTTTCCTTCTTGTCTCCCATCCGTCCATCCACTTGCCATAATCTGTAAATTCATCTGCTTTAAAAATTGGACTCTGTTTCTAAAAAGTAAATAAGAACAACGGACCATATTCTGTCATCTCTTATACCAGTACAACTCCATTGACTCGTGTTCTGAGCACAGAATTTTAACTAACATAGAACATGCAGGTTTCAAGCCTCTTGACTGATTTTATTAGTAAATGAGCATATAAATGTCATTCTAGTCTCTAGAAATGGATTTATACCAATCTATTCCAGCTGAGGACCTAACTTCAATGGGTCAGTTTTTTCTTTCAGTTACACATGTGGTATCAATCCCTGATTTCAGTGGGATTTTTGTACATGTAATGATTGTAGGAACTGTTTGCTAACAGATTTATATTTTAAATGGGTTAGTTGAAATTCATCATCAATTCTAATCAGAGCTAAAATGTATTTTAAAGTTGCTTTTTTAAAAGAGAGGCAGTGAGAGGAAGAAAGTGTGCAAAGAAAACTAGTTAACCTAAAGGTGTATGAAAAAAATTATATGGCAGGGTGGTTGGCAAATAGCGGGAGACTGTACTCTGTGACATAGGAGGTCGCTTTCACTTCTTGGTTCCTATGTTCCTAAATGTTTGTGCTATTATTTAGCAGGTTATGAAAGGAAATGGTAGTTGGGGGGGGAAGGGGGCTGAGAAATCCCACTTGATCCACTAGTTTCCATTGTAGGGTAATGCCTGAATTCTGATTACACCTGAATACCTTTCAGAAGTTATTATTGCATCAGTAATAAGACTGCAATTGAAATAAATCAGTAATCAAGAATCAAAAAGTTTGGTAAATCTAATGAAGCCTATACAGATGCTTCCTGTATCACAAATAGCAATAGCCACATGTCACAATGAAAATGTCAGAGTGGTAAGATGGGCTACTTCCCTTCATTATTCCCCACAGGCTCATTGTACAGCTACATTACAGTCACTTTACACAAGTTTAAATGATTCAGTAATGGAAAAAACTATGCAGAAGCAGATCCTTTGTTTCTGGAGGCATCTTACAGGCTATTTTAATCTCTGATCCTTGCTCCCCCTTCCTGGGTTACTGCTTTGCTTGCTCCTATGGGATAATTTCATTGTTCATTTGGCAATGAGACCCCAGGATTAAGGGTGGGTTTGCTAGATTCTGAAGTCTGAATAAAATTTCATCTCTGCTTTGGCTGAATGGGCTTCACATGATGAAATTTCCCCCCTGCCACATCCTCCTTCCGGGGGCCTCTTGTCTTAATGATCTGCCTTGAATTGCTCACTTGTTACACCTGTCTAGGTGCATTGGGAGCCTGCTCCAGTCTGTTATGTAAAGTTTCACCATTTGCAAGTGGCAGTTGCATGGTTCCTCCCCTTCCGAATTCCTGTGTCAGCAGGCTGGCTGGCATTTGCATTCACACCCAAATGAGGAGGGGAGACATGGAATCTGTCTGGTCCCAGGTGTTTCATGGACAGTGTGTGGCTGGGAACAGGCAGGTCTTCAGGGTCTTTGCACTGTCCCAGCAGTGCTGGCTTCCCTCCCTTCCTTTTTCAGCAACATTCTCGACACAGGATCCCACCTTCAGGGCAGTGCAATGTGGGGGATATCTTGATCCAGCCCTTTGCCACTGCTCAATATAAACATCAGTACAGGCAGTCCCCGGGTTACATGGATCCGACTTACATCGGATCCCTACTTACAAACGGGGTGAGGCAACCCCGCACTAGCTGCTTCCTCCCAGCAGATCAGGGAGACGCGAAGCTAGCGCCCCCGCCAGCAGACCAGGGAGATGCGGAGCAGCTTTTCTCAGCAGACACCTCAGCTTGAGAATAAAGGACTGAGGGAAGTGAGGTGTGGGAGAATAAAACTGAGCTCTGGAGAAATGTTTGGCTAGAGTTTCCCCTACAATATGTACCAGTTCCGACTTACATACAAATTCAACTTAAGAACAAACCTACAGTCCCTATCTTGTACGTAACCCGGGGACTGCCTGTATAACAAAGAGACACATCTCCCTCCAGTACTGCACATTTCCAGATCCCCCCAGGAAAAGATCTAGGCCCAGAGTTAATGTTTTACAAAAAGGCCATGAATAATTGCACTGCTAAGTCCTGAGGTGCCTTAGGGATGTGGCAGATTGTGGCATCTTAGGGATGAGCTGATTTCTTGGGGCATCCCACAAAAGCTGATGTCCAGATGGATCTTATGGTCTCTGGGGTACCACAGGATTCCTCGTTGTTTTTACAGACTCAGACTAACGTGGTTCCCCCTCTGAGACTAAAAATTATCCATCTGCAGGATCTTTAAGGCTTCTCCTACTTACTAGGACCAGAGCAAGTGCACAAAGGGAGAGGAACAGCTCCACCGGGGTTTGCTGTGACAGTCTGAGAGCTCAGGGCAAGCTTTGATGTGGAGTAGCACGCCTTCTCTAAAGGGTCACGGCAGATGGAGGGATGTGCACTGGGCTGGGGATGACGCTTGCATCCCAGAGAAATGGCGCAAGTTTATTCCAGCTGCTTTGCAAAGATACTGAGATGCCCATTAATTAAATGCTGCTTCATCTCATACAAAATGTAGGAATTCCAGGAGGACAAGTGTATTAACTCCTTCTCTGGAGAATGTGGAGGAAGCCTCTCCTAGAGCAGAAATAGGAAGCTACAAGAGACCACTCTTATGAGGCACATTTGTTTTATAAATGTTTTTAAGCTTCTATCAAACACACTTTTTAAGGGCCTAATGTGCTAACAGCTGCCATGTTCCTCCCCAGAGGTGACAGCATTTCAGTAGTGGGTAAGACCGATCCCTGCCTGGGACATCAGCAGGCTGAGAGAATGAACATCTGTGAATGTCTGTGGGGCCATGAGTGGGGAAGATGAAACAGGGAAAAGTTTTTGTTTTTCCTGTTTGGCGCTGCAAGGGTGGGTTCTTCCAGAGATAATGGATACATCCCAGAGGGGTTTCCCCTGCTGTAGAGAGCAAAGAGCTATCTTGGCATCCTTCTGGGTTACCAATACCCTCTCCACATTGGGTACATATGTCTTCTGCTCTCAAGGTGGAGGCACTTTGGTTTTGGTTCCTCATGAGGCTCCATCCCCGGGACCCAATTACTTGTGCTACCCAGAAGACAGAAGCTCCAGGGGGTGGGTAAATGGAGCCCTCACATCAGTAAGAGCAGTGGCTGAAGTGTCATACCTCCACCTGCTTCCTAGTCCAGTGCCATATCCTGACAGCATTGGCGTGGGCAAACTGAAGGATCTCTGGTGACTGAGGAGGGCCTCAGGGAACCTCTCCCCAGTGGTATTGTCCAAGGGAGGTGGAGACTTTGGGGGAAAGGGCTTCATTCCTTGCTTCCAACCAGGGCAGGCAGTGGTCCTTTGAGTTAGCTTTTCAGTGTAGGAATCAGGGCAGGCAAGGTAGGATGGTTCTTGGCAGGGCTGGGGGCTACAGAGAGGTGTCCAGAGGAATCACAGCTCTTCTACCTTCCGCTAGCTCTGTGCCGGACCCTACTGGCCACAGAAGGGGGGCACTGGAGTTTGCCCTGTGATTTGGAGGGAGGGGCATCACATTTCCCTCCCCCACTTCCCAAGATGGGGGAAGATTTGGGAATTAATTGGGCCGCTGGTGCTGTCTGTGCTGGTGTCAGGCTGAGCAGGCCCAGGGAGTCTCAAGCAAAGGGATTGGCTCTGGAGCAGAGGTGAAAAGGTGCACTTGAGGTGAGAAGGTGCAGCAAGGCTGCTCCAATCCAAGGCACTGGGAAAGCCCTGAGGGGTCCTCAACACCATTGCGGGTTGTGTAACCCACATACCTAGGCTATGTCTAGACTGGCATGATTTTCCGCAAATGCTTTTAACGGAAAAGTTTCCGTTAAAAGCATTTTCGGAAAAGAGCATCTAGATTGGCACGGATGCTTTTCCGCAAAAGCACTTTTTGCGGAAAAGCGTCTGTGCCAATCTAGACACGCTTTTGTGCAAAAAAGCCCCGATCAGCATTTTCGCGATCAGGGCTTTTTTTACGCAAAACAAATCTGAGCTGTCTACACTGGCCCTTTTGCGCAAAAGCTTTTGCGCAAAAGGACTTTTGCCCGAACGGGAGCAACATAGTATTTTCGTAAGAAGCACTGATTTCTTACATGAGATCGTCAGTGTTCTTGCGGAAATTCAAGCGGCCAGTGTAGACAGCTTGCAAGTTTTTCCGCAAAAGCAAATGCCAATCTAGACACAGCCCTAGTGTGGTTCACTGTACCGTATAGTGGCACTTAGATCACTTACCGCAAGAGATAAGAACAAGGGAGCTCTACTGCCTAAGCTGAGAGTCAGCTGGCTTTATAGCTCAAGCTGTAGAGGCTCCCACTCTAAGCTCCAGCCCCTCCACTCATGCAGTCAGCTGTGCAGATGATCTGTGGACTCCAGCCTGACTCTGCCTTTGTTAAAAAAAAACCTGTGGGTCTGAGAGGGGAGACCGGGAGAGGTCTGTGCTGTAACAAAGCTCCATCCTGGCTTTGCCAACTCGTGGGCCGGGACAGGGATGAGGGATCAGCATAGCCACGTGGGACAGGCTTCCCAGCAGCTAGCTCCTCACAGCTTTCTCCGCTGTCTTTCTGAACCTGCCCAAGCGAAGCAGAGCTATTTCAGAGCATTGCTGCAGCCCAGGCAGCAGGGTACAGCACCACAGAGCAGTGTCTTAGAGGTACATGGTTTCACTAGGAGGGTGGTGAAGCACTGGAATGGGTTTGCTAGAGAGGTTGATGAATCTCCATCCCTAGAGGCTTTTAAGGCCGTGCTTGACAAAGCCCTGGCTGGGATGATTTAGTTGTGATTGGTCCTGTATTGGGCAGGGGGTTGGACTCAGTGGCCTCCTGAGGTCTCTTCCAACCTGGTTTCCTGCCAGCATGCCCACCTCCTGCCTGCTTTCCTGGGCTCCCTACCAGCTTCTTGGCAAGCTGCCTGGTAGGATATTGGAGAGTTGGGGGTCCCTCCAGGCTGCCCAGCTTTGCAACTGGCAGGCATCCAGCTCACTATACAGCCAGAGAAGCCAGAGAGACAGCCTAGCTCCCCAGGATGGGCAGCATTCTGGGCACAGTTTCTGTAGCAGCCCACCAAGTGAGGTGCTGAACAGCAAGGGCTCCTAAGCTCTGTTCCATGCTCCCCTGTTCCCCAGCCATTAAGGCTCTCTGATGGCAATATAAAGAGCCTGGGACTCTGGTTGCCATCAGAAGCAGCAGTGGTGACTGGGAGCCCCAGACCCTTTTGAATCACTGGACCCCTGGGGTAGTTGCCCCCTTTGCATCCTTCTCCTACCTCTCTCTGTCAGCAGTCCTGTCCATGGCAATGCAAGTGGAGGGAAAGGCTAGCTACATTCCATCTCTGACAAGATTATACTCGGGGGTAGTGGGGCACTAGCCCTCATGCTGCTCAAATCTCCACAGCTATAATCTCTTTTTTGTGCACTAGCTCAGTAAAAAGGCAGCCTCACACAGCAATCCAGGTTCATGACGAGAAGCAAGAGCTGGACAAAACCAGCTAATGGGCAGGGTGCAAAAGATGAAGTAACAATAGGAAGTACTTCACATTACACACAGTCAACTTGTGAAACATGTTGCTAGGGGAAATTGTAAAGGTCAAAAATACAACTGAGTTCAGAAAAGAATTAGACAAGTTCATGGAGGATAGGTCCATCAATGGCTATTAGCTGAAAATATTCAGGGACACAACCCCGTGTTCTGGGTGTCCCTAAATCTCATAGGCTATGTCTAGACTGCAGGCTTCTTTCGAAAGAGGCTCTTTCGAAAGCATCTTTCGAAAGAGCCTCTTTCGAAAGATCGCGTCTAGACAGCAGGCGGATCTTTCGATAGAGGAAATCCGCTTTTTCGAAAGAGAGCACCCAGCGAGTCTGGATGCTCTCTTTCGAAGACCGCCTCTTTACATTGAAGAACGCCTTCCTTCGAAAGAGGAACTTTCGAAGGAAGGCATTCTTCCTCGTGAAACGAGGTTTACCGCCATCGAAAGAAAAGCCGCGTTCTTTCGAAATAATTTCGAAAGAACGCGGCTTGAGTCTGGACGCAGGGGAAGTTCTTTCGAAAAAAGGCTACTTTTTTCGAAAGAACCCCTGAGTCTGGACACGGCCTTACTGCCAGAAGATAGGACTGGACAGCAGAGAGTGGATCACTCAATAATTTCCCTGTTTTTTCCCTCTGAAGTACGTGGCACCAGCCACCGTCAGAAAACAGGATATTGGGCTATATAGACTGTTGGTCTGATGCACCCTAGCTATTCTTATGTTCTCATAACTATGCAAGCTTATTTTTGCATACTCAGTGCACACGGTGCAGTTTGCTTCCTGCAGAGCCATTTTCAGGTGGTGGTGTTTATCTCTACATCCTGATGTGTATTGTTCTGCCTTTCCGAGGCATTAATTTTTCAGTGATTGACTTCATGCTATTTGGTGTGCTTCTTGCTAATTGAGGATGTGACTGGAAGGTTCTAGAGATGACAGCTATGTTCCGCACATAAACACCAATGGGATCAAGAGGTGTGTGGGGGGGGATCTTTTGCTTCTTCCCATTCCCACTGCCCTCAGGCAACTAAGGAAGTTTTACCAGTCTCAAGTAAGGAGCCAAGAAAGAGAATCTTGCAAAGGGATAAGCAGAATTACAAGGTAAGTAATTTTCCCATAAAGCTAGTGGAAGTAGTTTCCAAGTAACATATACATGAAATTACACTGATACATTACAAAGATGATTTATTATAATGTAACATTTATATTGTGACAGTGCCTAGAGTCCAACCCGCTCAGGATATAGTGCTTGGCACTGTACAAACAAAATAAGTGTCAGAAACCAGGGCTTGCAGCTGAGACTGTGACCAGCCAATTCCACTCCTTAGTGAGCAACAGAGGACCCCACAGCTGAATCACAGTTGGCTGCAGCAGAATCACCTATCTGGCTATCCAAATCAGCAGACCTGTTCTTAAGACCAATAGCTGCAGCAGAAGATTGGCTGCTCAGAGCATTTGTCCATGGCTGTGTTGGCTCCTGTGCTTGCTGGTTCTTAGCCCTGCCTCACTCCAAGTAACCTAGCTCTGACCCTCTTCAATAATTCTTCACTTCTGTCTTTAGTTCTGATCCAAGTCTCTGCCTGCTGGCTCCTGCTCTAACCACTAGGCATGATTGCCCACTTCCTGGTCTCTGATAATAAATTAGAGTCACTGACTCTAAAGCCTACAGTCTTTAAAAGTCTAGACAAACCATCCAAAGCAGTAAATGTCAGCTTGCCATACCTTTAAGAGATTCTCTGCAGGAGCAAAAAAATCATCCGTTGCAAATAAAACCTACACAAGTAAAAAACAAATAAAAATAATAATTATAAATGTATATGGTTTTATTTCATTTTCTAGTGAAATGTGTTAAGTTATCCAGTAAAAAAAATATTATGTTGCCTAAAGGCTTATAGACATATACATATAATATTTTTTTTTAATGATTGTATACATTTCTATTTTAGGTGCCAATCCTGAAATGAACATGCATCGAACCTTATTGAATTCACTTGTTTGCTTGAGGATCAGGGCCTTACACTTCTTTCCACATCTTTACTTACAAAATTTCTACCTACTGACATAAGAAAGGGTTTATTTAATTTTCGTTATACATAACTCATGCTGCATATACCTGAAAAATCTCCACCTTCTTGAGTGGCTCTAAACTTTCAGATTAGCAGCATTGCTGTACAGATTCATATGACTTAATGCAGAAAAACAAGTGGACAAACTACCTTTTTAATCACTGACTAACACCATTGGTATTTTCAGGGCCATCCGTCTGAGTTGCCACTGAAGAGACTTTAACTCAATAACAAGCTAGGGGCTCATTAGTTTGTAAGATGCACCAGCCCCATGGTACAACCTTCTTTTTTAACTAAGTCAAATTAAAACATTGACTAGGGCATATCCAGACACACTGTAGTGTTGCCAGCATGCTGTATTTTTCACAAAGTAAACTACTATTATCTGGCCCCCACATACCAGACAGTAGGTTGGGGGCAACAAGAGCAGCTGAGCTTCAACTGGTCAACTCACACCCATGAGTTGTCCGTCAGAATCATGAGGAGGTTGAGGTCTCAATAATACTGCTCAGTAACTAAGCAGTTGCTCTTAAGAGAGTCTTAGGGTACGTCTAGACAACAGGCTTTTGTCGACAGAAGTTTTGTCAACAGATACTGTCAACAAAGCTTCTGTCAACAAAGAGCGTCTAGACTACATTCAGTTCTGTCGACAAAGCAAGCTGCTTTGTCGACATGGCAGTGTAGACACAAAGGACAGTTTAGATGCAATAATGCCTTCTGTCGACAGAACTGTTGACAAAAGGCATTATTCCTCATAAAATAAGGTTTATCAGCGTCGACAAAACTGCCGAGTTCTGTCAACGTTATGTCGACAGAACTCAGCGGTAGTGTAGACGCAGGTTTAGTTTTGTCGACAAAAGTCCACTTTTGTCGACAAAACCCTGTAATCTAGACACACCCATAGTTACTCCCAGCCTCAGAGACATTAAGACATGGTTTATTTTACAGCAAAGCACCTTTTTCTTTACCCTTCATCCAGTATTGAGAAAAAAGTTACTTTAACTGTAGTGTAGGGGACTTTTGTCCTCCAAATTCATTTAGAAACTAAGACCAATTGTTTAATGTTTTAGATGAAAAAACTTATATTTAACTAGAAAATTGAAAGAACTAGCTGGTGTCTCAATCAATGTGATTCTGTATACAACTTTAACACATTGACATCAGTGTGGAGTTGTCAGAATATACAAATTCCCTGCATTCTCCATATTGCTTGTGATGCTTCCAGTCAGCTGACCCTGGGCAAATATAACAATAACCACTTCTGAGTTTTTTAGGTGTTCCTATAGTGACTGGTTTTTGATAGTTGCCAAAGGAGGAGAACACTGCTTTGATAGGGGCGATGAGATGTGGGGTATGAAGGATTCTTCCCTTTATATGTACTTTTACAAGTCATTCTCCAAGACTGACAAGGAACAAGTGCCTTCTTTGCCTTGGGCAAATATGGATTGTTGCTGACCCAAATGATGAAACTGGTAATACTAGCAATATGAAGCATGTTCTGGAAAATAACCATTAGCAACCTATTTATCTTGCATTGGTAGGAAATACATTTTTGCAAGAAAGTCATTGTTATCAGCGCCACTTTTGCTGCTATAGAGAAGAATTAGTTGGGAGTTCTTTTTTGTCTCTTTCTACTTCTTTATCACAATGCATCACTGATACTATTTCCATTGACTTGCCTTTCTTTGGAACATAGGAAACCAGCAAACCTGAACACTATTAATAATTTTTTCTGCTGCAGTATGGTTGCATCTCAGTAAGTGCATCTTAACTTTTTTCATTAGATTGCTCCTACTTAGGTCAAATTTTTTCTTGACTAAATCTTCAGAATTTGAACACTAGGAAAGACTTTGTGTTCAAAGCTTAGAACTGCAAATTAAGACTTTTGGGTTCTATTCCCGGTTTACCAAAGGCTTCCTGTGTGGCCTTTGGCAAATCTCTTAATTTCTTTGTCTCAGTTTTCCCATCTGTAAAATGTGATAATAATATTTAACACATGGGAATATTGAGAGGCTTAATTCACTGATGTCTGAAAAAAAACCTTTTAGATCCTCAGTAGGAAATATCTGTAGAAATATCAAGTATAATTTTCATTAAAAGCTCAATTTGTCTTTTTAATTGTGTACATTTACCTTTCCTCCTACAACTTCACATGCCAAGTCATTCAGGTGTAGAAAGTCAGGTAAAACTTGAGTTTTTTCTCCTTTGAGGTGAGCAGCCATCTTTCCTCTAAAACCAAAGTAAACTATTCTATTCTGTTCTAAGAAGAAACAAGAGACATGAAAAGGAGCATGTTCAGAATAACTTCTCATTTCATTAATTTCATCCAGGCTTCTCAGCAATCAGAGAAAATTTAGACTGCAGGAGTAGGTTATATACTTTTTGAAGGAAAATGACTCCATGTACATTGAGAATATGTTTTACCATACCTATTGATTTATGATATGCATCTATAATATTTGAGATAAACAAAAATATGATTAGGTGTGAAAGTTAAATCAAACTTTAATAAATAAAACAGTCCACATTTTCCAAAGCTGTAAATAGTAGATTTCTTAATTTACCTTCGTGCAGCATAGTATCAATGTTCACCTATTAATTAGCACAAACATCATTTTTAATATTAACAGTAAAGCCCAGAGGTACCTAAGAGGAGTGACAACACTGTGTTAGTTGCTGTGCAAAAAATAAAATCTCTTCCCTGGAAGAAGTCCATGTCTATTTGTGCAGCATAGACTTGGTAGGATGTTCACAGAGGTGGGAAATCTTCTGGGAGAATCAAGTGCTAGTTGATCTCCCCTCAGTTGGAACTTGAAGAGAGATAATGTTAACAAGAGAGCAAGCATAGCCCAGAGATCTAGTGAATGCACTGTATCAGCCACAATAGCTAAGCAGTTGTCATTGGTGAGGTTCCTCTATACTACAAGCCTTGACTGAAAGTTGATATTTCACTGCAAAGATCAGAAGGAAGGGTACATAAGAGCAGCATTTCCTACTCTCCTTCAGGGTGAATCCCCTTGTCATTCATATGCAGGGAAATGAACGTCTAGGGTTGGAACCCAGCCTTGGTCTGTAGCTAAACACTATACCAACAATCATTTTAGAATAATCAGTGAATCCCAAACCACTCGCTAGGCTAGGGGCCAGGTGGAATGGTCTGCCAATAGTTCTTGTGTCACGCGGTGTAAGCACTTACTCCTTGTGCAGATATTTCATGCTCTTGCCAGCTTGAGGAGGGTAAATACATGTAGGCTTCATCTACACTGCAGGGTTTTTGCACAAAACATTTTGTGCAAAAACCCATGCAGTGTCCACACCTCAAACGCATTTTTGTGCAAAAAAATTGACAGTCAATCGACAGAATAGAGGGCTTTTTGCGGTGTAGCTAAACCTCCTTCTACGAGACATAACTCCTTTTTGCGCAAGAGTTCTTGTGCAAAAAGGTGTGTGTGGACGCTCAACAGGGGTTTCTTGCACAAAAAGAGCCTATCGGAAAAAAGCACAGGTGCAGCATGGATGCTCTTTTGTGCAAAAGCACATTGCTTTTGCTATGTGCTTTTGAGGTGTGGATGCGCTTTTGTGCAAGACGTTTTTGCGTAAGATCTCTTCTGCAAAAAGCTTCTTGCACAAAAACCCTTCATATAGACAAAGCCGTAGGGATGCCCTTGTTTCCTCACAGCTTCTCCTTTCATTTATGTTCTTGTCTAACTATGAGCTGGGGGAAGTCTTGTCTAACTTGTGAGGGAGGTCTAGGTTGGATATTAGAAAAAACGGTTGGACTAGATGACATCCTGAGGTCTCTTCCAATCCTAGTTGGAAGTTTAGTTTAGAAAAGAGAAGATTGAGGGGGGACATGATAGCAGTTTTCAGATATCTAAAAGGGTGTCATAAGGAGGAGGGAGAAAACTTGTTCATCTTGGCCTCTGGGGATAGAACAAGAAGCAATGGGCTTAAACTGCAGCAAGGGAGATTTAGGTTGGACATTAGGAAAAAGTTCCTAACTGTCAAGGTAGTCAAACACTGGAATAAATTGCCCAGGGAGGTTGTGGAATCTCCATCTCTGAGATATTTAAGAGTAGGTTAGATAAATGTCTATCAGGGATGGTCTAGACAGTATTTGGTCCTGCCATGAAGGCAGAGGACTGGACTCGATGATCTCTCGAGGTCCCTTCCAGTCCTAGTATTCTATGATTCTATTATTCTAATCTTCAATGATTCTATTTGCTCTTAGGGCAGGGACTCCATCTCTAGTTGATCTATAAAGCACAAGGCACTTGTCCTCTACAGTCCTATAATCTAATAGTAGTACATACGCTGCCCCTGAAGAACAGCGGTACCTACTTGAGTGACGTTTCTGCAGTGAGCCTGCAATAATGAGAATTGACCCATTTCATTTGGTTACCAAAACAGTATTTGCTGTTTTCATATTGAGAACAGGTGAGGTAGCAGAGAGGGATAGGGAGGAGGAGGGCAATGCCAGGTGTGTACAGAAGCCTGAAGGCTTCACTCTAGGTTGGCCTTGGAACACAAAAGTGGTTTGCCACCATAGTACTGAGAAGGACACTGCCACCTCCTCCATAGCTGAGGAGATGCCTGGCTGATGCATAGTTAATATGACTCTACTGGATAGAGGGACAAGATTTAGGGAGCCTGTGTAAGAGGTTTGCACCCATGTTCTGTGTAGATATCAACTAAGCAGTAGCTCCTTGGAAGTGATTATAGCATAGGGTTTGGAGACTGGCAAGGAAGAGGAGCCAGTGATCCAGGATTTTCAGCCACCACTTATTCCTTGCAGTGCCTGGGGTTGTAATTGCTGAGGGTGCTATTGTAGCTCTGAGAATCCAGCTCATTCAGGGTAACACATTTTTGAGTGCTAAATTATTCTAGGAAGACTGGTCTTAAGGGTGCGACATGATGGGGTGAGGACAGAATCCTCTCCTTTCAGATCTTGGGGGAGAGAATAAGATATTTTCCTCGCATCTTCTAAAATCTCCATCTTTAGAAGTTTTTAATGCCAGACTTGTGTAGTCTTTAATACTTCTCCAGTCTTTCTGCTATAATTTAGCACAAGGAAATGTGTTACCCTGAATAGTATTTTCATTATATATATTGAATGTGATTATTTTTCGTGGTTAGTCATTTTATGCTTTCTTATCATCTGAATTGAGTTATCTTATTCATGTTTTCCAACTGTAATTAGAACAATCAATAGCCAGCTGGTATTTAACTTCTTCCATGTTACTACATTCTGTCATTATGAGACTACACTATTGGTTGCCATTGTTAAACATGCATTTATTGAACAACTTCAGCAATCAAAACCTTCCTCTAAAGCAGATACTTTACTTCTGAGAGCACAGTGATTCCTTCCGTACTCTGTGTGTGTCTTGTACTGAGCAAATGGCACTGCTCATTTTTAGAAATGAATGTCATGAAGTAACATTGCCACTAATCCGAATTATGGGAAAAATATCAAGAATTTGGAAATATCAAGAACTTGGGGAGTCCCATGTAGAATTTCTAATGTAGCTATAGACTTCACTATTTCTGATATAAAAGAGGAGCATTTTCATTTTACACCCAAATTGACAGGTGTCACATTTCCATCATAAAAATATGAAGAGATATTTTCAATAACAACATCTACTTTGGTACCTGCAATTGATTGTTAGTACAAATGTATAGTCACATTTGATTGTGGATAAATACTTCAGAATTTAACTATCTGATCTGCTGGCATATCTAACCATTCCAGTTAGGAAATTCAAGATCTGAATTCTACTATTTGTGTTCATAATCAATTACAGACACAAGATGAAAGGCCAGAGTACAGCAGGGGTGGGCAAAATATGATCTGCTGATCAGATCCATTCCCCCGCCCCACTGGATCTGGAGCATGAGAGCCTCAGCTGGCTCCCTGCCTGCCCCACCCCCACTAGGCACTCAGGAAAGCCAGCTGCTGTAGGGCCATGTGCTTCTGTGACTGCTGAGAGCCCAAGGGAGGGGGGCAAAGGCTTGTCACATTGCTCCTGCCCTCAGTAGTGTCCATTGGCCAGTTTCTGGCCAATAGCAGCTGCCTGTTTACAGGACAGGCAGCATATGAATTGCCCCTCCCCTCTCATCCCTCAGGCTCACAGTGTTTTCAGCAGCACACATGGCCTGAAAGCAGGAACCCTGGTTAAGGAATCTGCTGGGCTGCTGGTTTGGAGCCACCAAAGTAAGTTCTCCCAGCCAGAGCCTGCCTCTGGCACCCCAGACCCTCCCTCTCCCAACCCTCTGTCTACCTCCTGCACTCCTAGCCCATGTAACAGAAACCCTCTGTACCCCTGCTCCAGCTCCCATACATCTTCCCAGACACTTCATCCCCCCTGCACTCCCTCCCAGACCTTGCACTCCATTCCACTATCCCTGGTCACAGCTCAAATTCCTGTACACCCTCCTGCCCCAGGTTACAGCCCCCTCCCGGACCCTGCACTCCCTCCTCCTACATCCCTCCCCCAGGCCAGAATCCTTTCCTGCACCCAAATCCCTCCCAGACCCCGCATCCCAATCCCATGTCCCAGGTCACAACCCAAACCCTTGCACCCCTACCTCAAGTCACACTCCCCTCCCAGACCCTGCATGCCCTCCTGTTCGCTGCCCCAGGTCACAATCTTCTGCTTCACCCAAGCTCCCTCCCAGACCCCACATCCTAATCCCTTACCCCAAGCTCCTTTCTGCACTCAGCCTCCATCCCAGACCCTTGCATCTCCTTTATTAATATCATGGAACAGTGTGGCCCGCGACCAATAGCCAAATTCCTGGGGTGGCCCCCCCATCAAAAATTATTGCCCGCTCCTGGAGTATGGCTTTTATGTTTCATAACTGGTATATTCTAAAACCACTTCTCTTTTGATTTCAAGGGGGAAATTACTGTTTTCTTGTGCAGAATTATTTCAAATTGTAGATATTTATGTTGCTAAATGGACACAGTATTATCTGATCTAGGCAAACCATCACAAATAAATTAGACAACCCAAAAGTTGCTAAACATTGTTTGAGAGAATACCTTAAAATTACTTGACTTTGGAAAACAAATACTTACATTCTTATAAAGATTAATTCCATTTGAAATACCCTAATACCCCTATGCAAATGTAAAATAGCCTGTCAACAAAATCAAACTTATCAGTATAGCTTTTTCATGTTACCTTTATGACTTGTTCCACTCTGGTGTCTGCTAAAGAAATAAGAAATTTTTAAGAGGTCAAAGTTTTTAAATGTTTGTCTGTAGCCCAAAGTCAGCACAGTGATGCAACTGCTCAGTAAACAGCCACTGGATTTATTGATTCTGAAAAGCAAAGATTAACAGCTCATCTTTCCTCAGTTTAGACTAATACAAATATGTTTCTATGAAGTCCTTTCTGGAGCTTAAGCATGTACACCCAGTGCTTATTTATATCTTGACTTGTGCAGCATATTCCACGATCAGCCTGGCTGATTCAAGGAGGGATTTAGCTCAGGGCACATGTTCTTGGCTGCTTTGCATCATGCCAAAAGCATAAAAGCAAACCTAAAGCTGGCATAATCAGCCATGGGAGGATCACCTCTACCCTGTGATGTTCCCTTGATACAGAGCCAGCATACTGCCTGAAATGTCACACACACTGATTGTTGCCCCAGGAGATGTGAGTAGGCATGAGAGATCTGGCCAAGTAATCCCTGAACCCCTGTAATTCCTTATTGCTTTAGGACCACTAGAAGCCATTTTAACTTTGCCTAGTCTTTAAGCTATTCAAACTTCCCCCAGACACTAGACTGAGACAATTTAGGAGTGTGGATTTTGCCGTTGCTGATGCACCTTCTCTCCGGAGTTCTGATGTGCATTCCTTGGCTCACCTGAGGTTCTGGGTCATTATACATAGTGGTATGAGAAAGACAAAGGTTTTTCCCCTTCCACTAAATTATGAATGTACAGAATGCAGAATATATAGTAGGTACAATATCTGTACCACAACAAAGCATTTGATAAACCCGTTGTCTAGCCACATGCATTTCTTTCTGGCATTATGAGACCAATTGTGTCCTCTGTGCTGCTGCTGGATCTGCAGACACTGACTCGCCATACTTTTATCTGCTCATTTTGCTCCCCGTCCACATGCAGAAAGACAGGGTATCAGGAGGCACCCTTTCCTTCCAGTATGTTCCAAAAAAGATATTAACACAGCCCCTTCCCTGGGACCAAGTGTGGGAGACTCCCTGCAGTGGATACCTCCATCGAAAGCTTCCAGCCCTTTGAGAAAGGCCCCCCACACCTGTATGTAAGATTCACAAAGACTTTTTTTTCTCTTTTGCATGAAAAATGGGATTGGACTATGTACATACCCTTCATTCTCAAAAGAGGAAGGTAACGCAAGGATACGTAGGCCTTTCTGTATTACTGCTTAAAAGCAATGCAGATAAGGCTTGCAGGGTCCTTTGACATAGGTGTCTCAAGCCCTTTCCATAGAGGTCTCAGGGAGAGTTTCCTTCTTTCTATCCCTCCCAGCTCTCGTGCATACTGATGCCAGTGACGTCGTACCTGAGCCCAGCTGACTCAGCTTCTGCCTTCCCCTGAGATTCCTTCATTGCCCTCACCCCTCTCTTCAAGGTACCTGGGGGCCTACACATCCCCTTACAGTGTATGACACCTACCCATTCCCCACCCCAAGAAATCAATCCCTACCAGAAGCTAATCCCCTTCATCCTGCCCCAAAACAACCTTCACTATGTATTTGGATCAATAACTGGCCTGTTACCAAAGGGAACCTTGAGCAGCAAAAGAGCCTCTGACTTGTAAGTAGAGGATGGAACCTCCCAGAGCCTGGACACCAGCCCAAAACTCCGAATTTCTACACAACAATTTTTAGCCCTGCAGCCGAAGTCCCACAAGCCCAAGTCAGCTGACCTGGGCCAGCCACAGCTTCGCCATGGGTCTTTTATTCCAGTGTAGATGGCAGAGCCCTGCCTTTCCACTGCCCACACAGTAAGGGCCCTTCCCAACCACAAGGAGCAAAGAATTTACAAATCCTTGAGGGTCCAGATCCTCAGACATAAAATACTTAACACAGTGGTTCCTAAGCAAGATTTGGAACCTACCCCCAGTGCTGCTACTTCAAGTTCTTGGCATTGGAAGTAGACTGGTAATGCACGCCCACCCAAAGATCCCCCAAGTGACCCTCTGGGAACTTAATTGCTGTGACAGCCAATGTATCTCATCTCCCGCTGCCATTTAGCTAAGTGTGCGCCAAAGAGAGGACTAGATCATTAGCCTTATGCTGCTGCACAAATGAGCAAGGGGACTACTGGTTCATACATACCAGGGCACAGCACAGGGAGAAGAGCAACCTCCAATCTTAGCCCCAAACTGTTAGATCTAAGATTTACTTCATAGAAGATATGCTATCTGCAGTCCCCTCTCTCTAAATCTATCAGTGGTATGTAGTGTAGTTAAAACACAGGCAGGTTAAGGTGGAAAACAACAAGATGTTTATTAGGGATAACACGACAAACAAGGACTCCCTCCAAATATAATAACAGCTCAGTTATTGGCACAGATGGCAGCAATGGGGATGAATCCAATAAGCCCAAACCCTTACAAATGGGATTCACAAGGAAACCAGAGATAGCCAACACCAGGTCATGTAGCCAATAGGATGACACTGTTGAGGACCAGGATAGCAGAACACAGGAACACCAGGCATTGTATTCCAGGAACCTCAGGCCAAGTTAGCAGATCTTCTTCAGTTCAATGTCTTCTGACTTCTCTTGTTGATCACGCCATCCTGCATACTGTGTGCAAACACAACCCCATCTGATGGTGTAATGGGCGAGTGAAGGTAAGATAAAGGGACTTTAATAGATGTAATTGCCTCAGGGCTCTGACTCTAAGCTAAGCTGGTACACAGTGTGAGGGACTCTGTGCATGACTGGGATGACCTGCTTGCACAGCATCCAGAGATATAGAGCCCTGTCACAGTGACAGACACTCCCTTATATGCACTCTGGTTGCTAGGCAGATTTACTACCATGAGATACTACAGTTCCCATCTTTTCCTTCATTTTGGTGCCACCAACTTCAAAAATGGCACCAAAAGTTTGAAGGAGAAGGGGTGCCAAGATAGAGGGCAGGTTGTCCCTTTGCTAGTCCAAGAATGCAATCACATTCAAAATGACATATATATACATTTAACCTTTTCCCTCCAACACCAAAGGGTGCTAGTCCCCTTCTCATGCCGAGGGGCTGAGAAGGATATGATAAGAAAAGAAGGTTGGGTCTTCCTTCTAACATGCTAGTCACCAGAGCCAAGCCAGCTTGCCCGTGGAAGGAACCCACACCAGGCACAGAACTCTATCAGATAGAGGCATAACTAGAATCAGCTCTTGGGTCTTAAATGAATAAAACATCTCAGAGGTCAGCTTATCTCCTCCTCTGCTATTGCAATAATGTTCCCAATATAGTCACACTTTAAGCGCCGTCAGGTAAAGCAAATTACACCATTTACCACCAATACATTCAGGAGTGATGAAGATGTGAGGATAAACTGAAATATCTAATTCACTCAAGCAAAACTTTATTACAAATGAATTAAGGCTAATTAAAGGCAAAATCCACCCACTCAAAGCTATAAAAGCAAGGAAATACCAGGTTAATTGTGCTCTGTGTCTGCATTGCTCCCACAGCTCTTTTTACATGAAATATTATTAAACCCAAGACCTTTCCATATTTGATTTTTTTTATTCTTTCCTAGTCTACCTTGTTTAATATTGTTTCCTACTGTGTGCTTGTCTTTGAGTCCTCTTCATTTTCATCATATTCCAAGCAACAAACTTAGCATGCATAATCTCAAGCATGTTCTATTAGACTTTTTAAACTTACATTACCAGTTAAAATGTTCTCTTCTTCTTTTTAACCTGTGACAAATAATCTCCCATAGTCTATTTACTATTAAATATGCATCTCTGAGAGGGCACCCATCACATGTATATATTGCTTTATTTAAACAGTTCTGAAATTTGTTCTTTAGTTCACACTCGATACGATGTATGAAAGAGTAGAGAGATCAAAACAGAGCCAAAAGAGGAAGGGAGTTAAATACAACATAGATGCAATTTAGCAGACTGTTTTTCAGCACCTCGCACACTTTTGACACCGAGGCTGCATCTATATTTACCATGTCAGAAATTGATCTTCTGGTATTTGATTTAGCAGGTCTACTTAAGACCTGCTAAATCAAATGTTGAGGCAGGTCTGGCCAGTTCCAGTACTTCTGGCAGTCATGATGGGTAAGAGAAGCTGACAGGAACATTTGCTCCTGTCAGCCTACCTCTGTGAAGATGGTGCCAAGCTTGGCTTAAGGCATGCCAATTCTAGCTATGGATTTTACGTAGCGAGAGTTGTGTATCTTTTCAAAAGCCCTCCAGCGTTACCTAGCTCTGCTCCCATTAAAGTCAATAGAACAGTTAGGCCATTGCAGAATGCTTTTGAAAATCCTACAAATATTAATAATAAATATTAATAATCTAGATAAGGGGGGGAAACGGGCTGGGGATCAATGAGCTAGGGATCAATGAGCATTAAAATGTATGACTTCCTAGCAAAGTGCAGCTGCAAAGAGGATAGATGGATGGGTATATATTGGAAGGTCCTTTTCTTGTCAGGTAAGAGATGTTATAACAACACTTTACATTGCATCAGGAATACTGTATATAGTTCTTATCTCAAGGTTTTAAAATAGAAAAAGACGAGACAAAAAAAGATGATGAAACCTATATAGGTGCCTCCAGAAGAGAGTGAAGGACTTAATTTATTTATCCTCAAAACCTCTAAGTTTAAGTGGATCCACATTAGCTAATGCTGTGGGCTACATTTTCAGAAAATATAAAGTGGGTAATATACATATATAATTGTACATGCTTTGTATCCATGATAATACCTGTAATAAGATGTATAATATAAATGTTTTAATGGGCCCTATGGGCTTGCATAGATGTAAGAAAAGAGGCTTTATGTTTTAATGGGCCCTATGGGCTTGCAAGAAAAGAGGCTTCTTAAAGAATGAATGCAAGATCTCTGTTCACCAGAATAACAGAAGAAAATATATTGTCCCTGGCTACTGAGCAGATACTTATGGTTGTACAAGGGCAAGACAAAAGGTACCAGATGTTCTAAGCCAGTGTTTCTCAAACAGTGGCACAAGTACCCTTGGGGTACT